CTCCATATATGGAGAAAGGAGATGCACGACATATTTTTGGATTTGTTTGACGGTTATTTATTTATTTATTTTTCGAAATGGTAGAATATTATAAGTCAAGGGCAAAGAATAACAGTACAAATCAAACTACAAGAATGTAGAATAGGAGTATGCTTAATGAAACGAACAAATTATACTAAAACTTAAAGAATGTACAAACGGGTAACCCACTGGTTCCAATAGTGTCTTACCTTGACAAGCTAGTTAGGGAGGACAATATAGGGAGAGACAAATTAGTGCTCTCCCTCCAAAGCCAACATGGCCAACAAACTACTATTACTAGAAGAGGAAACTAAAGAGAAACAACAAGATTCAAAATAGTTTTATCATTACACCACTTCCCTTTCTTGAAAATTATCTCCTCTGAAAAACAGATTGTTTCTTGCTCTCGATATCCTCCACAACAAGCAAACTGATAGAGTAATTCTATCTTGCATCTTCTTAGCTTTGTTGTTGTTACACACCTCCTCCCACCAATCTTTGATGCTCATCTTTCTCTCTTGAAGTGCAGTCCATTCAAAACGCAGCAACTTTCAACAAGTTTCTACTTTAGAGCATTTGAAAAACAGATGGTCTAGATCATTAAGTTCTTCCCCACAAATAGCACAAATGGGATCAACTTCTAGCCCTTTCTTTGCAGTTGCATTTTGGTACTCAAGTAGCCATGATATACTCTCCACATAAAGTTCCTCAACTTGGGTTGTAAAGGAAGCTTTCAAGTTTTAACCCACATTTTCCGCAGCACCTCATTTTCCTTACTTGAACTACCCTGAGATTAACAGCCTGTTGCATGTGACAAGATATCTTCGAAAGCTTCATCTTGCGAGTACCGTGCCCAGCAGCACCCAACACACTCACCCGCGAATGAGGTTGTGAGTCCAGCAACCCCCAACGAGTTCAACTTAGTAAATGTGTAGGTTTTAGTGTGTGTTTGTGGTGAAAATATAAATAGACTTAATCCCTTTGAATGAGTTAAACTCCGGTGTGATTTTAAGTCGATTGAAGATTTTTTGATGTAGGACACATAATTTAGAGTTACGCCCTTGTTTTGTATTTTGTAATTCTCGATTGGTCAATACTTTGAACTTTCCTTCTTTGAGGTTCATGTGTAAAAGCTAATTTTCGTAGTCTATTCTCGTTAATACACATCACAACATGTTGATTTGATTGTATTCACGTTGTGTTGATTTGTTTGTCCTCTCATTAAAATAATAATAATAATAATAATAATAATAATAATATCATTATAGCACCAATCAGGAAAGCAAAAGGCCAAGGAAGAGACAACAACAACAGAAAACAGCACAACGCAAAGACCTAATCTAACCATCCAACTGAATCGAACACATCTGAGAGAAATTGAAAGAGCAAATCCAAGAAATGGAACTTCGTTCTCAAGAAGAGAAAAAAGCCCTGGAAAAGGGACTCTTTTGTTTCACAGTTGAAGAGTTAAAAGTTGGTCATTACATACTTGTGTTGTGTCTTGTCTTTGAAAGGGATGATGTGCAAACTGTGCTATAATTTCTGGAAAGTCTTAATAAAAAAAGCAAATAAATTCATCAATACATAAACATTTGACTGGGAAATCAGTTTGTGATCTGGTAATGTCTTATGCATAACAAAAGATACAATCTCCTTAGCTTTCATGTCCCATTTTTGGATGGATAGTGGTTTGGTACTTTGCATCCTTGAACAAGAAGCTAATTTCCCACTTGTCCTATTGGAGTGGCAATCAACTCAGTCGCCTCTTTCGAGAACAGCAGCAGCACCCATACCTGAGCCTACAAATTCCAGAAATCAAACCAAATCAAATTATGTTCGACGTATAAAATGTTGTTAAAGTTGAGTTAAGTTGCCAATATTGCCATCGACACTCGTCTTAATTAGCACAATATTGCCATCGACCCTTCTTCTGCTTAGTTTTCTTTTTTCTTTTCCAATATTTTTCTCCATAAAAGAATCTAAATCTGTACAGAACAATAGAGATACCTACCTATGCACATGGATATCACACCAAAACGAGAGTCCTTTCCGCGACGTTTCATTTCATGAAGTAGAGTAGCAACACAACGGGCACCTGAATTACACGCAGATTTCGGACTCGCCTTTAAAATTTGATCAATCAAAAAAGTGACTAGATTTTTTTATGTATATTTTATTTACCTGTGGCTCCTAACGGGTGCCCAAGGGCCATTGCTCCTCCATTGACGTTGACTTTATTAGTATCAAGACCCAGTTTTTTGCAGCAATACACATACTGGGAAGCAAATGCCTGTGAAATTTTATAGCAGACCCATTTCTTATTAAAATGTATTTAAAAATCATAATTTTAGATTTAAGAATGCCATCAAGTGATTAAATAAGTACCTCATTTATCTCGAACAAGTCAATGTCCTTAAGCTCAAGGCCAGCCGATTTGACTGCAGCTGGTATAGCAAGAGCTGGGCCAATACCCATAACACCAGGTTCAACACCCACAGCTGCAAAACTCCTACATAACATTTGCTTACAATAAATAATAGAATAATTGTTGTTGGTAAATAAATGCATCAGTAAAAACTAGAAAGAAAAGTTCACCTAAATACGCCTAAAATTGGAAGCCCCTTTCGCATGGCCAAACTTCGTTTCATGAGAAGAACAGCTCCAGCACCATCACTCACCTGACTTGCATTTCCTGATAATTAAATTATATACCGCATTTTAGTTAAGACTTTATGAGCCATACAAACAAAATAATCACTTATTCATCCACTGGCTTTTTACCAGCAGTTGTGGATCCATTTTTTTTGAATGCAGGTTTCAACTTTGCTAGATCTCTCATATTCGTGTTGGGCCGAACCCCATCATCTTCTGAGACAGTAACAGGCTTTGCTTCGCCACTTGCAGGGTCCACAATCTTTGGAGTTAAAAAATTATTCAGTTAGAAGCTTTAGGCAGATTACTTGTGTTTTATATATAACTGAATTAGAATATTCCAAGGCTGTGATTTACCTTAGTAAAAACCGGAATTATCTCGTCTTTAAATTTTCCTGATGCACGTGCAGCAGCCGCGCGTTGGTGAGAGATGACCTGTTAATGCAATTTGAAGAAGAATATGATTTTTTTTTTCTGGTTTTATATATCACATCTTTAAATCTCCTTTTGTTTCTTCTTCTTGGGATTAACCTTCTTGAAATACAACAAAACAAAACAATTAAAAAATAAAAATAAACTTTAAGAGATAAACTCACAGCAGCTTGATCTTGTTCTTCCCGAGTCACACCATAACGTTCAGCAACATTTTCAGACGTAACACCCATTGGAAGAAGACAATCACGAGCCTTTGCAAAAATCTCTACCTGAAAAAACATCATTATTATGCCAAGTTGAAATTTTCAGTAGTCATGCATTATGTGAATTTATTATTCATGAAAAGAAGGGAAGTTCATACATACTTTTGGGTTAACCATCTCAATCTGGCCCATATTATCTACTGTCATGGACTCCAGCCCAGCACCAATGCCTGCATGACATCAGCAATAAACGCTCACATTTCAGACACAAATGCCTCTTCATGGCTCAACGCGCATTATATAAAAATCAACACTTTTTCACCTATATCATAATATCCAGCTTTAATGAAGGCAGCCACATCAGCAACAGCTTGGAGACCAGATGAACACTGTCTATTCACTGTTCGTATAGGTACTGAATCTGAACAAAGGATCAATATAGAATTAACTAGATAACAATAAANCTGCAGAATTTATTCAGAATCCAAAATGTAGCCAAGGAGAATTGCTTTAAGTTTGTAACTCTGCTTCTGCCTTAAAACTTTACGGACGCATTAAAGCAAAAATAATTATCAACTTATGATTCTCAATTGTTTCTGGCTTGCAGAATAGTAGATCAATTCTTCTAAACTAGAATTCATATTCCACACCTCAATGAACCAAAGCACCAAATCTAGAAAAAAAGAAAAAAGAAAAAATCACACACACAAAAAAGATACTACACAAATAATGCATGCAGTACAGAATGAATAAAATTTAGATTTCGAAGAGACTAAACTTACCAGGAAAACCGGCATAATATGCGGCCATTCTGCACTCGATAGCTCTAAGTGAACCGGGAGCCAAAACTGTCCCTACAACTATATCCCCAACCTCAGCAGGATTAATACTCGTTTTCTCTATCAATGCCTGAGAAGGGAATAAAAAATCATGGACAAAAAGTATAAAAGGAGATCAACGGCTTTTTTAGCAAGTGTATAAAGAGTTACCTTCAGTACAGAGGCAAGTAAATCGTCCGGAAGTGTATCCTTAAACCCACCTCGTTTGGCTTTGCAAATAGGAGTCCGATAAGCTCTGCAACAAAGTAAACGACAAATGCAAGTTACATACTTGGTAAATAACTAGAAATAACAGAAAGGGTAGCTGACAAATTGTTTATAAGTGAGAGTCAAAACTCACGCTACAATGACAATGTCATCCCCAGAAGCATTATTCGCAGCCAAGCATATCAAAGGCTGTCAAAATAATATCCAAATGTGAAATGTGTATTGCCAATGGGTCGAATAAGGTGAAAGATTTCATGCAATAATACAAAATAGCAACAAGAAATAAGTCAAAAATTCTTTCAAAACTATAAAAGGCTTCTCCAATAGTACTACTTGAGTTTCTGTTAATGTTACGCCACATTTCTACAATATTCTAGAGTTATGAACAGTATCGCGTTATGCGGTACTATTCATTATTCTACAAATTTTTGTTTATTTTTTATCTTTTATATTGGATGTATTTGATATATCTTAAAATGTATTATTTGACAAAGTTTGTACCAATAAATTTATAATTTAATTTTAGAATTATATGAAGATATTGTTTTTTCAAAAATGTATGTTTATATTGAATTACTATAAAATGAATCGATAATATACAAAAATAATAATTCTTCTTTGTCGAACAATATATCAAACTAGTAACAAACCAACTAACATCGTGAAAACATTTATTTTATAAAATAATATTTCCAATTAAATAATATTTTGACAAGTTAAATAAATTAAAATAAACTCTACACAACACTATAGTAGAAGGACTGGACTAAAATATCACTTTAAGGTACTACAAACTCATGTTATGTTGGCTACTGAACGATCAATTGGTAGAACAGAATCAAGTATCAAGGATATTCGCCAATTTTAAATCAACCTCAGAATTTTTTTTTTTATTATTATTTTTCTTTTTGTGTGTTTTTCTTTTTCCCATCAATTAAAANGGAAAAAAAAAAAAAACTCACAGCTAGAGGAGATGATTCAGAGGTCTGTGGAGAAAAAGAAGAAGGAGGTCGCAAATGTTGTAGCAAGATTCTCTGCCTATTGATAGCTTTCTCCATCTGTCGCTCTCCTGTGATTGTTCAAAAAAGATTCCGTCTTTCAAATCAACAAGTCGAGGGATCAAATGATAATTCGCTTCCTCAAATTGAAAGCGCAAAGGGCCGAACTTCGGGCGTTTGAAAGGAGTTTCTTTAATGGAAAACTAAAACGGAAGCGTCGTGTTTCATGTGGATGATGACAAAGGATATGGGCAACAGATTTCTCTAAAATTCCATTAAAAACATGTGTAGTTGACCAATTGTTCTCAGGAGTTGGGACTTGGGAGCATCAGCCAATTCTTTAAACAAAAAAATAAAAATAAAAAATAAACAAAATCTGAAAGTCGGAGAAAATAAGAAAGGGAAAACAAAAAGAGTGAAAAAAATGTANGGTATAAACTATTCATTTTCAAAGTGTACTCACTACTCACTAGTCACTACTCAGGCACTTTTAAATGGGAAAATTCTATCTTGTTGAATTTTTAACTTAATTGAGGGTTTATTTATTTTACGTTATTCTTGATTGAAAATCTACTTTTACATTATAGTTCTTAATTAATACTAACTAACTTTGTATTGGACGTAATTATATAAACCAAATACTATTATTTTGAAATTCATATTTTACATACTTATAATAGAAAATATTAGATATCTTTAGTGAAATTACTTATATAAAAATGTAATAACATTAAAATAAAATATTTAGAAAAAATATTTTTGTTTTTTAAAATAAAAATATTGAAAATATATTTTTGGATAAATATTATGTTTGAAAAAAATAAGAATATATAAAAATAATACTTATAATAAAATGTATTAAATATCTTAGCAAAATTAGCTTAGTAAGAAAATTAACTTATATAAGTTACATTTATGCAAAATTTCAGTTAAAAGTTCAAAAAATGAGAATTAAATTTTAGTAAGATATAGTTTAAATATGGGTTTATTGCAACAAATTTGCATGTATTAAATATTAAATTTGCGCATTATCCTCCTGTATTTTATAAATTGCGTCATACTTCCTTGTATTTAATGTAGGAAAATTTTTATGTATGCTACATGAAATTGAAAATTTTGCAAATCTACCATCTATTAACAAGTAATTGTGTCTCTATCTAATTGTCAATATTTAATTACATTTATTGCTAAAATTCAGTTACCTAAAAAAGTGGACTCCATCCACTTTCTATTTCCATGATTTCCGCCGTTTCCATGAAATAAAAAAAAACATTCAGGTTACTTTTATATTGTAATAAAAACATGTATTGTAATTCACGCAACCGTCATGTGGTATATATTGCGTTTATGTTATACTATATTCAGTATATGTTGCAATGAAAAATATGGCTTCCATCAAAAAATTATGTTNTTTTTTTTTTTACTTTTATACATAAAAGTATATATATAGTTTACAAACATATTATAACAGGTTACTTATATTCTATATACAAAAAAACTTCTAAATATACAGAACATATACTAAACATATACTCCATATACACACAACATACACTCGTAACCGGTTTTGCTATGAAGCCAACAGTTGGCTCCAAGTAGAGCCAACCTTCTATATACAACAAGTAAACATATCATATCAATAAAATTATAGTATTTATTTAAGTAATTCTCATAGCAAAACCGCACCCGCAACATATACAAAATGAAAACTATCTATCAACGAATCAAGCACATCAAATGTTCGACAATAAATTTTCTATTATACAGAACATATAGTGAACATATACTTCGTAAATACACAACATATACCCACAACATATACAAAATGAAAACTATCTATCATCGAATCAAACACATCAAGTGTTACCATCATCACCCATCTCGTCATCCTCACACCCAGGAAATCTAACGCTTCCTTGTAGTATCTCGATGCAGTCTCCGACTCTTCACGCGGCCGCCGCCACTTTAACCACCCCATCACCACCAAATCCGTGTCGCTTCCCCTGACAAAGAAAAGGTCATGATGTTAAAACCCAAATATGTCTCCTCCTCCTCCCCCTCCCCCTACTCCGTGGATTTCTTATTGGCTATATAAAACTTCAAAACGTCGAAATCTTGTCATGTTCCTTGATTATTATTATTCTTCTTCTTCATAACTTGGTACTTGTTAGACACGTAACTTTCCAGTATCCTATTCAAAACCCCACACGCTTTCGCGAATTTCTTATTGAACACGGCCTGCAAGTCGACAAATTGATTGTTCAGTGCCACGTGATCGAGGACCGGGACGAGGCCTTCCTCGATCGAGGACCGTCCCTGAGAGGGATCGAAGTTGGGCTTGGGGAAAAGATGGAGACGTGGGCTGTGCTTTTTTTTTTTTTTTAGCAGTGAGATAAAGGTGGAAAATATGGAGATTGTGTAAATATGGTAAGGATATATCTTAATCTAAGTTAATGATCAAATCACAATTAAGAGCCCGAAAATTCCTTAATTGACAATGCTAGTGTATCTGTAATATTTTTGCCTTCAAATAGCAATTTTATAAATAAATCTAATTGAGCTGTAAAAATATTATATAAATGGTTTTGAATTGTAGAGGGTGCAAATTCCTCTTTAATGTATTCATGCACAATCGTCTTTTTTATTAACAACGTTAATTTTTCGTTGATTTTACCATTATACCCTTATAATTTCATTTGTTTTACCATTATACTTTTAATGGTCAATATGTTGACTTAAAAAAAAAATTCTATGATGGGAATTGCTCCCACAACCTTTGGGTTATACAAAACTACAGATATGAGATGCCATACTCGGAAGAACAAGTGCAATGAACTACACAATCAAGTTTGGATGAACCGGGTGGTCGGAAGCAGAATAGCCGAGAGGTCGAACAACAACAAGGCATCTTCAGGTCGAAAGGAGCGAAGGCTTCACAAGGACAACGACAGGTCCAGCTAGGGCCCTCGAATGGCCTGTTGGAAACTCAACCTGTAGGCATAGGTGGTCGTACGATCGACCAGAGAAGACAATTCTTGGTCTCAAAACAGACAACATTCTACCTCAACAGACCTTGAGATGGTCGCACCATTAGACAATCTAATAGGAAAGACTAAATGATAAGAAGGACTCTTAAGGGGTTAATTGCCGCACGTGTATAGGGCCACGTGGCCTAATACAATTGGGCAGTTTGGGCAGACCGGACAGTTCAGATTGTACTATCGGGCAGTTTGGGTAGTTTGGGCAACCCATTCGGGTAGTCTTGGAGAGTAAGGTATCATCTCCCTATATAAGGGAGTGAGGTATACCTATTATTACATTACACTCTCTACGTACATTTTCATAATGCACTTCATCTTCTACAAGTGGTAACTTAAGCATCGAAGGCTCTTCACCGGAAAATCCCTATGGTGTGAGAGTTTTGTAGGTCTAAAGGCATTCAACCGGCGAGGAGCTCGAGATCTATCCATTTCCAGCCGGTCGAAGGTCTTTGGCATACCATTTTGCGTCGTTTGTGGGAATTTCGTTTGGAAAGCCGTGAAACACCATAGTCATGGCTGGCGAAATTCCAAAAAAGAAAAAAAAAAATGTAGTATACTTTCGACGATGAGTTGCTGAACACTCATCCGTTCAGAGTAGGCCCACCGTCGGGCTTCACCGGACCTTTTCATACCTCGATGACCTCAGCGCCCCCGATTGATGTTGTAGGCTCGAGTGACCCAAGGAGTGGTGGTTCTAATGCAGACGCAACCAGATCTAGCCCAGGGGCAGCCAGAGTGAGCTGACCGCCAGCTGGTCACGATGTCGAGGTAGGAGCTGGAGCGTATGATTGCAAACATCGTGGCGACCGGAGAGGTTCAATAGGCCACTCACCATACTTCTCAGGACATCATCGCGTTGACCACGGTGGTAGGAACAAATCAACAGGAAATTGAGATGGACGAGTCGAGCAATGGAGAATGAGGTGGTCATAGGGATCGATCTTTTGAGAGAATAAACGAAGCAAATCCGGAAGCTACAGGAAAAAAATGGATGGTAAACCGGCTGGTCGAGCTCGAGGACACCCTTTCTCTGGGAAAATTCTCGATGCGGTGTTGCCGAATAATTTTAGGGAGATCAGTCTGAAGTATAACGAGTCGACAAATCCATCGAGATGTGCGGTCATTTGAAAACATGGCGTTTTTGCATGGTTATTCAGATGTTGTGAGTTGTAGGGCGTTCTTGTCGACCTTGAGGGGAGGTGCACAAGACTGGTTTCGCGAGCTTTCCCGGGGTCGTTGAAGGACTTTGAAGATTTTTTTACTTTATTTATGAACCAGTATATCTTACTCTGATGCACTGACTTCTTTTTTCGATCCATCCGGTTGTTTTTGTAAGAGGCAACGATGGACTTTAGCGGCTGCGCGTACCTCCCATCCTCCTTCCTAGTGGGGAGGTCAGGTTGGAGATGAGAAGGCGAGGCTCGTAGCTCAAGCTCGTGGAGATGTCGGAAGTATATGTTGTGTGTATAGACAATATATTTTTATTTTATGTTTTCGTCAGCCGATGCTTCATGTGTTTCTCATTTAGCCCATGTTTCATTTGTTTTTATTCAATTGATAGGCTTCTTATTTTTTTGATTTCGTCAGAAAATTTTGGCTTTTATTTAGGATTTATTCAATGGATAGGCTTCTTATTCTTTGATTTCGTAAGAAATTTTTTAGCTTTTATTTGGGATTGTCTTGTTGTGATCCATGATCAGTTTATGATATGTATATGACGGGCTATAGCTGTATACTGAACAAAAATTCAAAAATCACACTCGTGGTTAGATAAAAATGTTATGTAAATAAAAAACGCAGTATCCACTGAATATATACTGACTATAAACGCTACGTATACTGTACATTCAAAACACTTGAGAGTTGAATTTCCCATAACCTGTGCAATTTAAGGGGGAGGCGATTACATTTTACTCGGCAATTGAAAATCCCATAATCTGGTGCATCTTTGCAATTAATTGACATGAAGTTTGTTAAAAATGAAATTACAATTAATTCACGGCCCATCCGTACCTTAACCATCCATCACTTGGTATTTGTGTATAGAGTCCAATTAATGGCCCGCTAAATCTGAGCTGAAGGCCCAAATGTTCTTACATACTGTTTCCCTTCCCTGCAGATATCCCATAAACCATATGTTTATAAATATATGCATGACACACACGAAAACAATTCCTCTTTGTATTTTTTCTCTCTAGGGTTTTTAGGGCTTTCCGGCAAGAGGAAAAAAGAAGATGGATAGATATCAGAAGGTGGAGAAGCCAAAGCCTGAATCTCCTGTTAATCAGAATGAGATCCGCATTACTTCCCAGGGCTTGGTTCGTAACTACATCAGTTACGCTACCACCCTTCTTCAGGTGTCTTTTTTTTTTTTNGAAATTAATCATTTTTCTTTTGTCTTGTATTCAAATTGTGTTTGTTAGTTTTTCTTCATTTTGCTCGCACTGTTATGTTGTAGCGTTTTTTTTAAATGGCTGGTTAATTTGCCGTTTCTGCATTGTGGCCTACCTGACTTTGATTATGGGTAATGCTTTGGGTTCCAATAGGAATTTGTTTTCTGTGTTATCTTCCGTGTAGTCATTTCCTTTAAGTGGTTATATGTTTTGTGTGTGTATTAGTCTTGAGGTTCCATAAGTTTATGTTTATGCCTAGCTCCTTTTACCTTGTTTTCTGTTTAGCTTCCATGCTGTTGACTTTGGTTTTGTTAACCCTTTAATGTTCCATAGATATTGGAGAATACTAAATATGTCTCAGTGTGTTCTATAATACCTCATATACATGCAATGCTTTATTTAACACATGAATAAGTCTGGCACGTTTTGTGTTTTCAGTTTCCTGTAACTGCCTGGTAGTTGATTTTGTTGATTACCATATAGGGATATTTTCCGTGAGACAACTTACTGTAAATTGTATTGATTCGATAGGGCTGTTGGCAGTGTACCTGTACTTCGAGACTTCAAGCTTGACATTCTACTGGATGTTGAGTGCTTTAGGACCACCATTCTGATTATCTTTGTCCTCAGTTTTATCTTTGGCATTTTTCTTTTTGAATTTGGGTTTTAGAGTTTCTTCCATCTTCATTATATTTAGATTCCTTTCTTCCACATCAATTGATCTTTTATATATTTCATGTGTAGTTTTCTTTTCTATCCACCAGTTCGGAAATTATATATCTGATTGTTTCTTCTAGTGTTATAATTGGGATCATGACTTGCATAACCATGCTCATCTGTTTTGAGGATTCACGGGAATTGACAAAGGTTATTATTCATAAAATGATAGGTGAGGGTCAGATGTAGCTGGCAGCACAAATTTACTGGGATGTCGTGGACATAAAATCCAAGCAACAACCCTAGCATTAGAATATGAGAATATGCTAACTATTTTTTATATCAAGGCCATAGAACCCAAATCACATGAAGTCATTGATTATGGAATGGACCGCCTTTGAGTTGAACTCTCATGATGGTAGGGCTTTTTAGGTTGATTCATTCCATGAATTCTGTTACTAACTACCAAATTCCAATGCATAAAAGTAGGAATCTGGATTCTTTAGCAGGATGTCATGTTGGCTTCTTTATACTGGGCCTTAAAACATGACAGAGTATCTTTTAGTTGGACCTTTTCTGTATATGTCTTTGTAAATTTGATAGATTTTGTTTTTTCATCTTTGTCAACTGAGATAGTATGCAATATCTTACTTATATTTTCACCAGGAACGAGAAGTAACAGAGATTGTCTTAAAAGCAATGGGTCAGGCTATAAGCAAGACTGTGGCTGTTGCAGAAATCATAAAGGTAGCATTTCCACCCCACCACCCATATTTCCCATTTCTCCCTTCCTGCACACTGAAAGATATTCTAAGTGCTTTCATTTTAAAACAGAGAAGGATTCCTCGGCTTCATCAGGACTCTACCATCAGTTCAGTGAGCATAACAGATACTTTTGAACCCATTGAGGAAGGCCTTGAGATGTAAGTTTAATATCTCTTCTTCTTTGTCCTTTGATTATGTTAAACAAACAAAAACATATCCTTTTAGTCCCAAGCAAGTTGGGGTAGGCTGTCCTTTGATTATGTTCTTTTTGGCATTTTTATGGGGGGTGTGCCTGTGTGTATCTAAAATGAATTTTAATGTCTGGTACAGTGTGGAGCAGACCCGACATGTTTCGATGATTTCGATTACCCTGTCTACAAAAGATCTGAACAAAAATTCCCCCGGGTAATTGTCTACTTGACTAATCTTGTCTCCACTTTAATTAATCTATGCATAAGACTTAAATTGTGTGGCATTGTGCCTTCACAAGTCTGTATGGCTTCTCAAAGTTGTAAGTGGCAACCTTTATGCTTGGCCGTTGATTGGTATATGGTTTATTTATGATACTGTAGGAATGGAGTCATTTGGTGATTTTGATTTATATATTCCCCCCACCCCCCCTGAACTATTTCTCATTTCCAATGTGTTTGTATGCTTGATCCAGATATCAAGCTCCATCAAATACTGATCAAACTAGACAGCAATACAATCATCCGCCACAACAACGTCAGCCTCCTAGACAAGCACGTGGAGGTTACAACTCTGGTTATGGAGGTACAGA